TGACTTCTTTGTACGGTGTGCTAAATTATACACATTTATTTATTTATTTATTTTTCTGTAGTTCATTTAAATTTATTATTTTCATTAGATTTCATTAGAGATTTATTTCTCATTCAATCAATTCAGTTCTTGCTTTGCTGCAAGACAAAAATATCTAAAAACTCAAAACAAATATATAAAAAATAGTAAAATATAGAAAAATCTTAAACATCAAATACAGTTAAAACAAATTTTGCAAATAAAATTACAGTTTCTGTGCAAAAACAAGCAAATTGTCCAACAAGCAGAGAAACAAAATTTTCAGGGCACAAAAATTTAAAGGTAACTTTTGATCCCACTTGGCAAAATGATACTGAAGTTGGAGCACCAACTGACTTAATTCACTATACTACTAAGAGTTTCAAATGTAAACAAATAGCTGATATATTAGGTATAGTGCCACATACTCTTTTAAATTGCCAATAATTCTACCATGTACATAAACAAAAGCGTGAAAACCGTAACCAGAACATAAATATATATATATATATGTATATATATAGTTCAGTCACTTTTAAAGCAAAAAATGCACAATTTAGCAACATATAATAATAAAAAAGGGAGCTCACATAGTAAGAGGATTTAGTTTCATTGATTAAGGTAAAGCTAACTAGGGCTACCTGCTTAAGGGAAGGTTTGCCTTCGTCAAGGACTTTCTAAGGAAAACTGAATTCTATACTCATTACACATGGGAAAAGCAGGAAAATGCCCATGCAGCCAGTTCATTCGCCTGGTATCGAATCCGTGTTGAAGCTGCTAGTGTTCAGCAACTGTACTGCTTGGCTGCTAGTGGGTCACGAGGTAAGAGTGAGTATATATAGAGTGGTGGCTAAAATTGTGGACACTTTTGGAAATTTTTTTGTTTTTGAACTTTGTATGCTTATAGAAAACATTACGTTTCACAAAATGCAAACTTGTATATATCATTTGAAAGAGAATTTATTACTGAATTCAATACAAAATACAAAATTCAATTATTTGCAATACAAAAAAAGTTAAACGATAATAGTTATCGATATACATTAGATAGTGATGATTGCAGTGAGTTATCAGTACTTAGTAGGGTACCCTTTATTTTTTATTACAGCTTCACATCGACGTTTCATTGAGCTGACAAGAGTTTTAAGCTCTTCTTTCGTTATTACATGATGCCAGGAAACAATTATAGCCTCAATTAGTTTTTTTTTATTTGATGGGCGCCTCATTCGGACAAGAGTTTTCAAACGGTGCCACAAATTTTCGATAGGATTGAGGTCAGGATTGTTTCCTGGCCATGACAATAATTTAATGCTCTTTGTACGAAACCACTCTTTCGATATTTTTGCCATGTGGCAAGTAGCAGAATCCTGCTGAAAAATAAATTAAGCATTGTTGGGAAAGAGATCTCTGATGGAAGATAGAAGTTTTGGTTCTAGAATAGTTTCAATGTATTTTCTGGCTTTCAGTGTCCCATCGATGACATGAAGGCGACCAATACCATCTGCTGACATGCATGACCAAATCATAACACTAACTGGGTTCTTCACAGTTGCTTGAATGCAGTCAGGATGTAGCTCTTCTCCTATTCTACGTCTTACATATTTTCGCCCATCACTACCGAATAACGATATCTTGGTTTCATCACTCCATATAACTTGTGACCACTGATCATCTGTACAATTAATGTGTTCCTTTGCCCACTGTAGTCTTTTTTTTGTTGCTGAAAATTAAGATAAGGCTTTTTTCGTGGAATTCTACCTCTCAGTCCAACATCTGTTAATCTTCTCCTGATTGTTCTTGAACTGAACAGAAACACCAGCATCATTCAGATCACTTCTGATGGCTGCTGATGACATTTTTCTATCTTGGAGACATAGTCTTTTTATTCTTCTGTCATCAATAAATGTGGTGCACCTTTTTTGGCCTTTTCCTTCTTTGTTTTTTATTGAATTTGTCTCCTGATATCATAAACAAAACTTTCAGACTCCAGATGTAGTCACTGAACCACCCACCTGTCTTGCAATTTCAGCCTAGGAAAGACCACTTTCTCGTAACACAATAATATTACATCTCTTTCTAGGTGTCCAATGTACTCTTTTATTTGATGTCATTGCTTCTTGACTAAATATTAAAAATTTTTACGAAAATTCATACTTATAATTGCAGTGTATAAGAAACAGGTCCTCCTTCTACAGAACAAAGCAAAATAATGAATTGTTTCAAGTGTAAACATGATGTCAGCTTCTACTGGCAGTTACTAACATTTGATTGGTTCTCAGAACAAGAACAGTGATTGGCCAGGAAAGCTAGACATTACAAACCACTTCATAACTGTGTTTTTTATTTATATTAAAGTACATATAACTTTTCCTGTATTGCAAATAATTGAATTTTATGTTTTGTATTGAATTCAGTAATAAATTCTCTTTAAAATGATATATACAATTTTGCATTTTGTGAAACGTAACATTTTCTATAAGCATACAAAGTTCAAAGACATAAAAATTTCCAAAAGTGTCCACAATTTTGACCACCACTGTATATACATACACAAACAGGTTTGATGTGGCTAATTGCTACAAAAAAGCAAGGTGTGCAACTAGATGTTATAGCAGTCTCATACACAAAATTTGAACGTTCTATGGCTGTTCATGTTTGAGTTATGCAAGATACATGTGTTCATATGTACAGACGACATGAAAAATTCCTTCAAAATCCATACTTATTTTACATTTCATTTTGGAAAAAAGAGACCTTTATTTTGTCTGTACCAACAGATGTCATGCAAAAAAAAAAAAAAACGTTCGAATGGATTCAAGAGTGGTGAAAATGGATATTTTCATCGAAGCATGACACCCGAAATTTTTTGTGATTGTAATACATCTATTACTTCATACAAGGAAGTAAAAAGAATGCATATTGAATAGATGCTTGTTAATGTATTATGTTGCTCAGGTTATAATCTTACATGCTTTTATTTTGAGTTCCATGTTGTATATTGTCTCATTTAATTTTGTGATGTTTCAAGCTACATAAGACTTATATTAAAATAATTAGGATTTTTCTTTAGAGTAGTAACTGTAAATGCTGATGATAAGCTGTTATATAGAAGGTATATAAGTTATATAGAAGATGCAGATGGGATCCAATTTGATGAATCTTGAGATTATTCAAGAAAGAAATAGTTTTGAGATTGGAACTGCATTTGAAATTAAATTTGCTAGTCATGTCACATATTTAGAAAAATATTACCAGTTGCAGAGTAATCCCCATTATTTACTTTTGAGATTCTTATATTCGCTTTTCCACAGTATTATATCAAGTTATGTTTATTATGCAAATAAAGTGATATCTGTCCACTTTGAAATGTATCCTGTTAGGATGTGAAAACTTTTTTTGTGTGCGTGTGTGTAACATTTGTTTGGGACGCAACCAATTTGATAAGTCATGACTGTGCACACTACATTTGTTCACTCTTTTGAAACAGCTCAATGACTGCCCACAAGCTTCAGTACGCTTGTTGCTACTATTCAGTAAACAACCTTCATTGCAACTCTGAATTTCAAAGTCATTTTGTCTTTTTTTGCATAAATTTTTAAAAATTTTTTAGCAGTGAATTTTAGAAAAGTTAATGAGAAGAGTCAAGCAACAAAGAAAGTTGTTAGAATCATCATGGAGGTGAAGAAAGGGATTTTTTAAAAAATCTGAAAATACCATGTGTATCTGGGACTCGGCAATTGCATACCATGTGCTGAATACAATTGCACCTGTGATTGTAAAAATCAGTGATGCCATTAAATTGCCTAACACTGGGAAGGGGAGAAAACCGATTATGAAACAAAGTTTGGAACCATTAAAGCATGTTAAAAAATTTCTTTTGATCTGGATAGCAGAATAGTACTTAGTGTCATTTGCAGTGCTTCATTTATCTCACTTATCTATTTACCTAATCAGGAATATGTATTTTAAAATTACATAGTGTTATAACTTAAACAGTGTTATATATTTTAAAATACACTGTTTTTTTAAAATGTGTGGTGTGTGTTTACAGTGTATATAAAAATGTTAACAGCGTATTTAAAAATAAATAGTGTCATTAGCAGTGCTTCATTTATATGTACACTTGTATATTTCACCCACTGTATATGTGTTTTAAAACTAAACAGTGTTATTATAATAATAATAGGATTTTTTTGTAAATTATTTCAAATTATTTTTCCTCTGTTTCAATTCATTTGGTATATGACCAAGGTTCTGGGCGGAATGAATGTTGTATACCGAGGTACCACTCTATAACTGTATCATGGTGCTTGTAAGCACAGTTTTCTCGCAATGGATATTTAGTGAATTTGAATATTGAATCACACAGTCATATATCTGTAATGAGTGTAACTAACTGTACAGCCCACAAAGCTGAGCAATTATCGTTAACAAATGTCCTAAAATTTTGTGATTCATCATAATTGAAGAATAGTTAAAGAATTTATCTTGACACATTCATCTTAATATTGATTGAAATCTGCATTACTATATGCATAACTGTATTAATACATAATGATATGTAATTAATATGCTCTATATTAATGCATAATAATATAAAATTAATATAAACTATATTAATACAGATTGAAAACTAAGCTTCAAACTGCAAAACTTTAAACTTATATATTGCAAATTGTTTACTTTTTTAATTTTGTGAAAATTCAGTTTTGTCTTGTTTAAAATAATCTCTTTCTTAGAATAACTATCATTACAAGCATTGTGTGCAGAATAAATACATTTGAAATATAGTCCTAAGGAGGTAATTAAGTTCTTTCCCTCACCTTTTTTTAAACTATAATCTATCACGAATATTGAAGTTGGATTCCCAAAGTTTACAAAATCTATACTTTACCTGAATTTCTTGAAAGTTTTAGAATTTTCCTTGTGAATAGTAATTTTTCTTTAGTTTATTTAATGTACATACTTGTATTCCTTTTTAGGGAGCTGCTAATCATTGGAGGAGTATCTGCAAAGGAACAGATTATGGAGCTTCAGAGTGGTGTAAGTATTTTTGTTTGAAATACAGATGATTTTTTATGATTTAATATTTTTAGCTGTTGCAAATTTGAGGCAATTTATTTATATTTGCTTGAACTGAAATTATTAATACTAGGAAAACCCATTCCAAGAAAGCAATGCTTTCATCCATTGCGATTATCTTTCTTTCAGAAGATTATCCAAACTCTGTGTGACATTGTATACAATCATTTCATAAATGATTTTCAGAATACTAAGTAAAAAAAAAAAAAAATCTTATAGCGCATGATCACTTTCCTCTGGTCTTATAATGTTAAGTTTCATATTTACAGATCGATGACTGAACAGTCTCAGAATTTTTAAAAGCACCATATACAACACCAGTCAAATACCGAAAATAAATCTTCAATTTATAATTCCGGAAACCGCAACATGGAGAACGAAATATCGAAGAAAAAATACTTATTGAATAATGACTCATAACGGAAATATCAGAGCCGAAACTACCAAATTATTGACATCATGGTGAAAGTCCCCCCCCCAATCTGTATCTAGGTAAAATATAAATCAGAGTTTCGGAAAAAAATTCTTTCATGTGACCGTTCTATGTCTTTTTCTGATTATTAAAAAAAAAATCACCATCAAAGCCTGCATTTATTTGTTAGCAAAATCATGGAATTATGTTTCCCAAACAACACTAGTAAATTCCTAGCCTAATGTATGGCCATCTTCTCTGTTTATTGAAACTGAGAATGATGACAGTGAATTTTCAGGTTTTAGGGCCATTGCAGCAAGGGTTAAAGCAAGAGAATTGCTTTTATATTCAAAAGAAAGAATAAATGAGGGGGCCTTGCAAGAAGAAGATATCATTGAATGTATGATGTGTTCAGATGAGCCTGCCATATCAGATGACCGATGATGAAATCATTGGCTCTGTTTTGAACTTGTCTCAGAAAGAAAATGATTCCGACACCGACACAGATAGTAAATTTGACAGAAGTGAGAAAATATATTTTAATGAGGGTTTGGAACGTGGTGAAAAATACCTAAAATTTGTAAAACAACAGAGCTGTGTCACAGAGGAAGAGATTATGACTGTATATAAATATTGAGCTTTTTTTTTGTAAATTTTGATACCCTTTAGATCATAATTGTTCTTTATTTCATAAATTATGGTTTCATATTTTTAATTTTAGAATTTCTGCATGTCATCTTACCAGATTTAAACTGATCTATAATCCGGAATCGCCGAAGTCCCGATGAGTTCGGATTAACGACTTTTGACTGTATACATATATATATATATACACAGTAAACTCTCGCTACAACGATACCAGATACAACAATAACTCCCTCTACTACAATAATGTTTTGTGGTCCCGGTGATTTTGCATATAAACTAATGTTAATCTCCCCTCAATATTGCTATATTCTCTAGAACAATAAACCTCTGTAAAATGATTTTTTCAATCTAAATTTCAGTATTGTTTTCTCCCTTTATAATAATATTTTGATTTTCAAATGCTTTTTTTTTTTCGTCCGTCTATTAAGACTCATTGTGGATATTCAACTTATCTCTGAATAAATAGCTATTGTTCAGATTTCAAAACAGATGAAGACCACTTTTTTGGGAATTGGAGTGGGTGGGGGGTGAAGTGTAAATGTATGCCTAGTCTCATTTCCCAGTAAGCTTTGGAATTCTGATAAGGTTTAAGGACATCTAGACCTGTCTGGTCACCTTGTCACCGAACAAGTGCCCTTTGTTAGCGGAACGGGGGAGATGGAGGCGGGGTGTTTGTTAAGTGATGTACTGAAAAGTGAGTTCAAAGGTTGTTTTATAGTCTTTACGATTTTGAGTTCTACGCGAAACATTTGGTTTAAACTTTTCTTTCTTTCATGCGATATTGTTCCCTAAGATGGCAGGGCGAAAGCAACTATCTTTTCGAGATAAACTGAACGTTATCAATGTTATTGATGAGGGAATGAAGCAGATTGATGCGGCTAAGAAACATGGATTATCGCAATCTACAGTTGCAACGTTCCTAAAAAAGAGAAAGCAAATCGAAGATGCTGTAACTTCAAATGAAATTAACCCAGAGCGAAAACGACAGAAAGTTGCGACAAATGAAAACATTGATGCTGCTGTTTTAAAATGGTTTCAAGAGATGAGAGCAACAAATGTCCCAATAAATGGACCTTTATTATGTGCAAAAGCACAGAAATTTGCAGCAATGCTAGGGAACGAAACTTTCAAAGCTAGCAATGGTTGGTTAATGCGTTTTTGCGATCGTCATGGAATAACTTTCCAAGAAGTTCACGGAGAGAAAAAGTCAGCCCTGAAAACGACGCAAATGACTGGCGGCGAAACAAGATGAAAGAAATCTTAGAAAAGTATGCTCCAAAAGACATTTATAATGCAGATGAAGCTGGGCTGTTTTTCCAACTCCTACCCGATCGAACATTGGCATTCCAAGGGTGAAAAGTGTTATGGAGGGAAGAAATCAAGCAGAGACTGACTGTTCTTCTGTGTACAAATAGCACAGGAACGCATATAGAATACAACCTCTCGTCATCGGTAAATCATTAAAGCCAGTGCTTTAAGAACGTGAAAAGTCTTCCTGTGGAGTATAAAGCAAATAAGAAGGCTTGGATGACGTCTAAATTTTTTTCCGAATGGTTACAGAATTTAGACAATGAAATGAAGAGAGAAAAAAAAAAAATCGTTTTGTTGATAGATAACTGCGGTGCTCACACTTCATTTCCAAAGCTACAAAATATTGAAATCGCTTTTTTCCTGCCAATTGCACTTCAATTTTACAGCCTCTTGATATGGGCATAATTAAGTGCTTCAAAGGATATTACAGAAAATGGTTGGTGGACTCCATACTTGTAAACTTTGAAAATAAAGTAGAAGACCCTTTCAAAGCTGTAAATGTCAAGGAAGCGTGTGACAATATTGCTGGAAGTTGGTGGGAAGTAAACAGAAAAAAAAACCATTCGGAATTGCTGGCTGGAAAAAGGCCGTCTTTGTGTTATGGAAGATAAGAATCTGATAATGATGAAAATTCCATAGACAATGATCTCTCAGGTGATCAAGAATGTGTTTTGCACATCAAAAAATCCGTATCCCAACTTGAGGAAACAGCGGTAAAAAGTTTGGAATTAGTATAGAAGACTATTTAACAGCAGATGATGATCTTATGGTTTTCGCAGGAGTTACTGATGAAGATATTCTCTCTGAAATTACTGATGAGATAGGAAACAATGATGAAGATGATGATGATAATACAGGTCCATCGCAGTCCTTATTGTCATCCCAGGAAGCTCTTCAATCTGTGAATTCTCTACGGACATTTTTTTCAAGCCTTCCGTCGACAAATGAAAAACATTTTCGTGCACTAGACTCAATGCATACAGTATTGGTGAACTTAACAGTTAAAAAAATCAATAAACAAACAAAAGTATTGGATTATTTTCAATAAAAAGTTTTTTCAGGTATGTGAATATTTCTGTGCTTATTTTCTGAATTTATCTTATTTATTTATTTTTTTAGTATTTAAACCACTATTATTAGTATTTTGCAAATTAATTTCTTCTAAATATAGACTTAAAAGTAGTATGTTATGCACCTTAAACTAATAATAATAATAATAATAATAATAATAATAAAACTTATTAAATGCTCAAAATATGTTTTCCTGGATATAACAATATGCCTCTCTACAACATATATTTATTTGTCCCTAAAATGTTGTTGTAACAAGGTTTCACTGTATATATATATATTAAAAAAAATTAAATGGATTGTTAGATTTGCAGTGTTTGTAAAGAATTAGGGAACAAATATATGATTAAAGAAACCTGGCAACAGATTGGAGATGGTGCACTTATGTTTTTGAGCACGCCGATTACTAAAGCTTCGATTTGTCTATTTTTTTTTTTTTTTTTTTTATTTAAATTTTACAGTAAGTACTATTTCATTTAAGGCATACATAGTATAAAATAGTTCTTATTCTTCTTATTAAGTAGTAATTTAACATTTTTAATGTCAGATTTAGGAAATTTTCAATAAATTCTTGTGGGATATATTGTCCCAGTCATATTTAACAGTGAGCTGATATGTCCCACGTGTGATCAAATTACTACATGCTGATATATTATGTTTGTGTTTATGAAACATGTATGAAAACTTCTGTTGTGTATGAACTAGTGCATATGACATAATTTATGTTTTGTAATATTTACATTATTTTTTACCATAAATTTTAGTTTTGCTTTCTGAGAAAGGGTAATATCCTAGATGATTGGTACAAAAATAGTTCCATTTGACAATATGTCCCAGGAGGTTTCCAGGAAACAGGAAAATTTAAAATTAAACTACTTTTCATAGTTAAATTTTAATCATGCAAAAATCAGGTCGAAAAGGTTAAAACTTATTATTGAATTTTTGGACTAAAAACATTACCTTTCCTTACCTATGTATATAGGTTGCTGGGGGGAAAAACTTTGAAATTTTGTAAAGTGTTCTGGTGAATGCTAACACTAGTGAAATATGTGTATATCATTGAAGAGTAATACAGTCAAAAGTCATTAATCCGGACTCGTCGGGACTTCGGCGATTCCGGATTATCGATTTTTCTGGATTATAGATCATCAGTTTAAATCGCGTAAGATGGCATGCAGAAATTCTAAAATTAAAAATATGAAACCGTAATTTATGAAATAAAGAACAATTATGATCTAAAAGGTATCAAAATTTACAAAAAAAAAAAGCTTAATATTTATTTGTTTACTTTATTAACATTTCTTTCAATGTAAGTTGTTTAAGTTGCTTCGTTTTATGTGATAATACTTTCTCTTTAATTCTATAAACAGACATAATTTTTTTGTTCAGTTACAAAGTTCCACTGTTCAAGTCCCGTTAATTGCTGTGCCGAGAATACCGACTAACTTGTCAATCAAAATTTTTTCGTTTTCACTAACCTCTCTGTCACATTCTTCATGTCTTTATCCATTTTTTGCAG